AACTCAAACAAATTGGTAAACTAATTCAACTAAATTTTATTTTTTAATCTGAGTAATTACTAATGATGTATTTATCTTTTAATTTATAGTTCATTAAAACTTTGTGTATATGTTTGATATATTTCTAAATCTTTATTATTGGTTACTTAAATTCATGAAATAGTTTTTGCAAAATATATACATTTTTAAATTTCTTTGCTTATTATATTTTATAATTTATTTTCTTTTTATATATTATTATTTATTATCAGTAATTTATTTTAATAGATACATTTTAGTTGTTTTTTTTTTTGTTTTTTTTTGACAACATTTATTATATTAAGGGGCTCTATAAAAAGATTGTTGCGGTATTATATCTCCTTTGAGCCCCGGTTTTAAAAATTTTTAAAATTTTGAAAATCTCTTAATGATATGTACTACGAGAAACTCATCTGTAAATTTATCTTGTTTATAAACAGCAAATACATACTAACAAATTTTTTTTAAAAAAAAAAACAAAGTAAAGCATATTAGCTTTCTTTTCTTGTCCCCTTTTTGTAACTTACAAAACTCTTTATTGATTTTACTGGTTTTGAAAATATCTTTTTGTTTTCGCGTTAAATTGTCAATTAAGGTATGCTGGTACTTTTTTAAAAACTATTCTCTTTTTTTTCTTCTTTTTTTTTTCACACCAAATAATTTTATATCCACCTGCAAAATTTTATGAAAAAGTAATGTGGTGCAGATTTTTTTTTGGTGTCAAAAAAGGTACGTTTGACGTGGACGCTAGAGAAGGGATTGTTAACAATCATTATTTTTCTGAGAGAAGAGATTGTTAACAATAATTATTTTTCTGTTTATTTTAAATAATATTTTTTTAATTGTATTATTATTTTACAAAGTTTAGGTAACATGTTACCTAAACTTTGTAACATGTTACCTAAACTTTGTAAAATAATAATACAATAAAAAAAATATTATTTAAAATAAACAGAAAAATAATTAAATACAATTAGAAAAGTGATATATAAAAAGTTGACAAAATTAATGTTCAACCGAGTATTTTTATCATTTTACAAACATGCAACAAACATGTTTTATATGTTTTAGCATGTAATTTAATATAATAAGTTTACAAACTTACTAAACTTTTCATTGCGACTGTTATAAAACAAAAGTGCATACTTCGTTATTTGGAAGACTTTTTACTGGACCATGTATAAAATGATAAGGTGCATGTTGTTTCCATCATTGCTTGCTTGATATAACTGTCATCAGCAAACAACTTAATGTTGCAATGTCAGCAAACAACTTACTGCTTACTGTCATCAGCAAACAATTTAATGCTGCAATCACCATCAATACATGAAGTTGAATAATTTATAAAAACTGAGGTATTCCGCTCTATACAAGAATTTTTTTGAATACGAGTTACTAACGCAAACACATTGGGGACGATTTGTTAAAAAACTGGTAATCCAATTTAGAAAATCATACTCGATACCATAACAATGTAGTTTGAATAGCCACTTAGAGTGAGTCACAGAATCAAAGGCTTTCTCAAAGTCTATTTATAAAATATCAACTATCTTTTTGTCATTAGCAGCAGTGGTCCACTCATTTAAGGTTGTTTAACAAGTTAACTAGAGGGGGAAAAAATAAAAGAAAAAAAAAGTTAGAGAGAAGGTTGTATATAATTGCAATAAATCTACTTAAGCAAAACATGACCTTTATGACTGAATAAATATGTGAAGTAAATTGCATCATTGAAAAAAATCTTTCGATTTTTTTCGGTGATGCAATATACTTCACATATTTAAGTTAGCAAGGTCAGATGAAGTAAATTTAACAGAAAAGAATAATCTAAGTTTATAGATCTATGCTATATACAGCTTTTATAAATTTTCTCCTTGCTGCTCTGCACAAAGGATATTTCTTTTTTTTATTATTATTAATATTAGTTTCTAACCCAACATTGTTTTGGTGGACTTGTTTTGGGTGTGAATTTTGCATTTGATTTTAATCTAAGACACTTTGATTGGCCTATCGAAGCCGTCAACTCACTTAGAAATGGAAGATATGATACTAAAAATAGATTGTCGATGGAATTGTTGAGTGAAAATTTAAAAAGATAGATTGTATCAGAGAAGAGAAAAGATAGAGTTGGCATTTGAAAGTCTACATATGGTTAAACCAGCGTCAATATTTTAATGATTCATCCGTATAATAATTTCAATGTGGCAACGCTAATATGTAAGTAAAACGCTAATAACGTTATCTAGATAGTGCGCAAATGAGTCTAAAAAAACGCGTGTTGAATAAATTTCATAAATCCCACGTGTCGAATTGGTAATTTAAAACGGAGTTATCGCATTACTAGTTAAGACACATAATAGAGGAAACTCAATTAAGAGTTAGTCACAGACAAACCTTTGAGTAATGCATAGGAGGTTTTCGTGTCAATTAGCATCCATCATATTAAAATAACAACCAATCAAGTCACAGACTACAATTTTTGTAT